TCCCTGTAAAGACTTCTCTGTTGACACCCACCCCTTGGCGCTCATATGACCTTATGCAGTTGTGAGCGCCGTAAAACTCTCTACTATAAAAAATGGAGATGAAGACGATAGATGTTTGATAGGAAAGAAAAAGCAAACCACACCAGAGCATCCCCCAACCATTCACGGGAATTCGAAAAATGGTCATCCACACCGTAGGGTAGTGTTATACCAACTAATCTTTCTATAAAGAAAACAAGTAAATCCCCTCCGCAAAAACAAAAAGACTGTAAACGTCTGTCTTTTTAGTTTTAGTAGAAAGTTTTACGGCATTTGCGACACAATTATAAGGTCTTAAAACGTATGTCCTTCCCCCCTCCACACCCCACCCCAAATCACTCCTCATGAGACACAACAATACAAATCAATGCCTGTAAACCTGGGAAGTATCGGCCACTAGAGAGTTTAGTTTTTAGTTTTAGTAGAGGGTTTTACGGCGCTCGCAACTGCATAAGGTCATATGAGCGCCAGAAGAATAGAGATGTTACAAGAGAGTAACAAACATAAAAAAGAAGAGGGGGGGGGATAAGGATGATCGATGTTTGACAGGAAAGAAGAAGTAAAACCACACCAGAGCACCCGCCAACCACCCACCACTAGAGTGTGATTTTGGTAAATTTGGTGGGCGGTGGGAACAACCCAATGGTTGTGAATATTAATGTTGTTGAAAGCCCCAAATACACGAAGGTGGGTGGAACACAAACGTCAGCCTATTGAAGGGGGCAAAAGTGGGCGTTGGTGATAAAGAAAAAGTTGACAGGCACTGATTAGATCATGAATGTGTCACGATGCAGTGAAATCAGGAGCTCGTCAAGTTTTGGGCATACAATGTTATTGGTATCATCTTAAGGGTTATTCATTTGCCGTGCTTTCGATGAAAATAAATATCTATTTATCTTAGAAAGAAGAAGAGATATTTGCCATTGAAGGAGGTGGGTTCGCCTGGTTTCAGAATTAAAATTTGGGAGAAAATAACAGCCAAAGTTTGGTGACTTCTCTTAAGCAAAAGTTCTTGAAAATTCGAAAATTTCCATTTTTGTGCCTTTGATCAATGTTTTTCAGTACAATCCACACAAAAATATTCTTTCAAGTTGACATAAAAGGTGTTGAGCCCGCC